AATTGTATCTCATCTAGTTCCAGCTTCTCAAATGATATAGGGCCAGGAGGAGAGGATCAAATTATGTCTTAGTTACCTGGCTCCTGGTGGTTGTCTCTGTTTTTTGTAGAGCACAGGTGCAACGGCTGTCAGGGTGGGGGCGGGGGACTCTCCACTGAAAAGTGTGCTGATGTGGGAGATCTCTGGCTTGGCCTCTTCCGGCCCTCCTCCCACTCAGCTCCCACCAATGATGTATCAATAAAACTTCTTGCCGCTGGGATCTGCTTACCTGGTGGCTAGAGTGGCAAGACAACTGAAGCTTGACTATGCCTGCAGTCCAAACCACTACATTCTTGCCATGCCAAACAGTGGGTGTGCAGGCTGCTCCCGATCCTGCTGCAATGTCGTGTTTCTGTCATGAAGAAAATCAACAGATCCACTACGCAACCAAGAAATGAGACATTAGTCTCCCTTTCTTTTGCATTCCTTGAACCTCTCACATGGTACTCTTGGAGGTCTCTTTCATGTGGCACTATGGGTGGAGAACCTTACCCACAGGGAGGGAAGGGGAAAGCTGCAGGTCTCCCCAAACTCCAACACTTTTGATCCTGATCATCCTCTTTCTCTCTTCTCTCCTTAGACTTCTGTTTATAAAGTGGGGGTAAAGAGCACTGGGATAGTAAAACCAGTTCGGTCACCGCCCCCCAGCCCTAGAGATGGTGCTGCCCCCAATTTATTTGCAGCTTCCTAGAATGTGAAGTCTTTTTGTCCTAGTTCTAAATATGAGGCATTAGGGAAAGTGCCTTTGGGAATCCTATTGCAAATATCTGTTGAGAGAACCAACCAATGTGTTTGCTGCATTGTCAGCTCCTTAGGGAGTCCCTGTCCAAGTTAGTCATGGGGATGGGAGGCACTTGTTGAGGGGACTATGCTTCCTATGTCAGTAAAGGAAGAAGGAAACAAACCAAGGCATTGCCTATCAGGGAATGTGCAGACCTTCAAGGGCAGCTGAAACATTGGAGGCAGAATTGGCATGGTGAGGTCTGAGTGAAAAATGGGAGTAATGAAAAAAATGTATCATCAGGATGGAGTCGGACAGAGGAATGGAACAATGAGAGATGGAAAGATGATGGGAATAGAACATAATGGTGACAAAAATTTGTAGAAGGTGATGGAAGAGAGAAGAGGAAAGACAGATAGGCTGGAGTTGGGGGAGGGGACTAGGCAAAAGGAGTGGGCTCTGACTCGCCCAACTGGAACAAAGGGCTGGGCAGAGCAGCTGGTGAAAGAGAATAGAGCCTGTGGTTAGCATTTGCCAGCTGGTGCAGGTGGCTCTGAGCTAAATCCATCCTCTGCCCCATCATGCAGTCTTCTAAAGAAGTTAGAGATGGGGGAGGAGGAGTGGAAAGAATTGTGGGGAAGAGAGAGCACACTCTCCAGGTTCAGGGGCTGCCCCCTTCACAAATGCACTTGAACATAGCCCAAGAGCACTGTGGAGGAGGCTGATCCTTTTATTCCTGGACAAGAAGTGGCAGTGAACAAGGGAAGCTTTCTAAGGCTGCTTTGTCATACCAACAGTTGTGTAAAATTATCCTGGCCAAAGAAACCATTTAAAGTCCAAATCCTCAGTAAAGACTTTCAGAAATACTTCCACTCCCAACACCCCGCAGCCCTGTTCCATAAAGAAAGCCGTTCGGGTAACGAGCTCAGCACAGAGCTGGGCTCAGTCAGTGTTCCTTCTCAATAAGCAGCTTCCAGCATGAGACCCCTAGCATAGGTAGATACTTGCTAAATATAGGTGGTCAATGAATGAACTCATTGATCTATTTATTTATATGTGCCCCTACCCGTTCCCAACACAAGGGCCCAATCCAAGCTGTTGGTTTGTGCAAAGCCAGATAGGAGGGTTACATTCTCTTAGTCCACAGGAGCTCCTGGCCTTGTCTACCTTCCATGTGTAACCTCATGCTGGCTGTTGAGACAAGCTGGTTCCCACCCCAGACCTACTGATTCAGAGTCTGCATTTTCACAAGATCCCCAGGTGATTTACTGGCAAACTGGAGTTTGAGAAGCCCTGACCTAATCCAAGCCTTTAAGTTTTACTTAAACTCGCTGCGGGGGAGCCAGCAGAGGGCAGTGCAAAGGAGCTTGCCTGAGCAGCCTGAGGGACGGGTGAAGCACCTTATCCTGAGCCCTCAGTTCACAAGAGGATGCTCATGACTAGAACTTGAGGCAAATTCTGGAGTGTCCTCTTTGCACAAAGACAGATGAGCTTGAGTATACTGATAAGGGAACACACTAACCCCCCCACTTTTTTGTTTTTAATATACAGGGTCTTGCTTTGTTTCCAAGGCAGGAACAGCCGTGGCTTTTCCCAGGCATGATCACAGCACACTACAGCCTCCAGACCCTGGCCTCAAGTGATCTTGCGACCTCAGCCCTGGGAGTAGACGGGACTCCAATGTACGCCATTGTGCCCAGCTTCTCATTAACTTATTATTATTATTATTATTGAGATGGAGTCTTGCTCTGCAGCACAGGCTGGAGTGCAGTGGTGCCACTTCGGCAGAGGTTGCGGTGGTTCCTTAGCAGCTGAGGAATGTGCTTATTTGTGACAGAAAGTGGTATTTGTTTCCTTCTTACCACTTGTTTATTCCTCTGTGTGTGTGTGCATGTGCGTACGTGTGTGCGTGTGTGTGCGCGCGCGCGTGCCCGTTTGCATATAGCTCCCCAAAAATCTTTTTCCACTGGGGCCGGGCGCGGTGGCTCAAGCCTGTAATCCCAGCACTTTGGGAGGCCGAGGCGTGTGGATCACAAGGTCAAGATATCGAGACCATACTGGTCAACATGGTGAAACCCCGTCTTTACTAAAAATACAAAAAATTAGCTGGGCATGGTGGCACGTGCCTGTAATCCCAGCTACTCAGGAGGCTGAGGCAGGAGAATTGCCTGAACCCAGGAGGCGGAGGTTGCAGTGAGCCGAGATCGCGCCATTGCACTCCAGCCTGGGTAACAAGAGCGAAACTCCCTCTCAAAAAAAAACTTTTTCCACTGAAAAAAGTGAGGGGAAGGGGAAGGGTGCTGCTTGCTTACAGAAAGAACAAGGTCCACCTGGAGGACGCAGGCTGCTCACAGGTGAGTTGGGATGGGACTGCAAGCTGCTCACAGGTGAGTTGGGATGGGGATGCAGGCTGCTCAGAGGTGAGTTGGGATGGGGATGCAGGCTGCCCAGGGGTGAGTTGGGATGGGGATGCAGGCTGCCCAGGGGTGAGTTGGGATGGGGATGCAGGCTGCTCAGGGGTGAGTTGGGATGGGGATGCAGGCTGCCCAGGGGTGAGTTGGGATGGGGATGCAGGCTGCCCAGGGGTGAGTTGGGATGGGGATGCAGGCTGCCCAGGGGTGAGTTGGGATGGGGATGCAGGCTGCCCAGGGGTGAGTTGGGATGGGGATGCAGGCTGCTCAGGGGTGAGTTGGGATGGGGATGCAGGCTGCCCAGGGGTGAGTTGGGATGGGGATGCAGGCTGCCCAGGGGTGAGTTGGGATGGGGATGCAGGCTGCCCAGGGGTGAGTTGGGATGGGACTGCAGGCTGCCCAGGGGTGAGTTGGGATGGGGATGCAGGCTGCCCAGGAGTGAGTTAGGATGGGGATGCAGGCTGCTCAGAGGTGAGTAGGGATGGGACTGCAGGCTGCCCAGGGGTAAGTTTGGATGAGGATGCAGGCTGCCCACAGGTGAGTTGGGATGGGGATGCAGGCTGCTCACGGGTGAGTTGGGATGGGACTGCAGGCTGCCCAGGGATGAGTTGGGATGGGGATGCAGGCTGCCCAGGGGTGAGTTGGGATGGGGATGCAGGCTGCCCAGGGGTGAGTTCAGAGAGGGATGCAGGCTTCCCAGAGGTAAGTTGGGATGGGGGTGCGGGCTGCCCAGAGGTGAGTTGGGATGGAGATGCGGGCTGCCCAGAGACGAGTTCAGATGGAGATGCAGGCTGGTCAGAGGTGAGTTCCATTGCACCCACTTTCTGTTGGGCAGATCCCATCACATGGTTCCAGCTAAACAGAGATAGCTGGGAAAAGGAGTTTTTCACTCACCCAGGGAAAAATGGAGGTCTCTTTCATGTGGCACTATGGGTGGAGAACCTTTCCCACAGGGAGGGAAGGGGAAAGCCACAGGTCTCCCCAAACTCCAACACTTTTAATCCTGATCATCCTGACAGGCAAACAGCACTGTCACTGTCACTGTCACTGAGGAGTTGGAGTGGGGTGGGGATGGCCACGAGGGGAGTGAAAGAGACTGGTCTGAAAGCAGTCTGTGGTGGGTGGTTTTCTGAAGGGTAGTGCATGCTGTGGCGACCCTCTCAGCTCCAGGCACATGAGGAGACTTAGTGGCGGGGACATTAAGCAGAAACCCCAGGTGTTATGTCAGTGGTGAACCTAGGGGATCCTATCTGCATATAGTAGATGACTCTGGTGAGACCACTGTGTCAGTCTGATGGTTTTATTGGATCCCATGACACAACTAGGAGTTGAGGAGTTGCCTACACAGCGACAAAGGAAAAGAGGAGCAAGAACTGAGCTCCCTGCGCAAGGCGTGTGGGGCGGGAGGGCTTCTTCTTTTTTTTTTTTTTTTTAATTTTTTCTTTTATTTAAAAAATTAAAAAAATATATATGGAACGCTTCACGAATTTGCATGTCATCCAAAGCTTCTTAGGAGATACAGCTGCATCCATCCTTCTGAGGACGCAAGCCTGAACCCATGTTCACAGGAGACTTAAGGAGAGTGGTCCTCAGAGAGGCCAGAGCAAGGCAAACCACTGGAAAGGAGGTGAAGGCTTGACAGGGGAGCTGGAACCCCGGGAGGCTTGGCATGGATTTTGGAATAAGGATCAGAGGTAGCACAAATTGGCTTCTCGGCTGAGCTGACACACAGGAGCCTGTGGCCCCAGGCTCTCCCCCGTGTCCTCAGATTCGTTTCTCCCAGCTGATGGAGCAGGCACTGTCTGACAGATTTGGGACAACTTCAGGAATCCAGTTAGTTAACAATCATATCCAGTATTTATTTTTAAAAAACAAAACATTCACATAGTGTTGTTACAATTTTTGGTGGGAAAAATGCATGTGTATCTCTATATGTGTACTAGAAAACTAAAAGACGATATAAAACTAATTAATAGTCAGTTTTTAAACATTAACCTGAAAATTCTCAGATATAATTCAGCAGCACACGGCTCATCCTTTACAGCTTCGGTCCCGGTGAGGAGCATGGTTACTGGCAGGCAAGATCCTCTGGCCTCGGAGTTTCACTTGAGGTAAAAGAGCTCATCTCAGGTAAATAACAAGCCAAGAATGGTGGGCACGGTGATCACTAGCCAACTTGCAATCCATTCCACAGCAAAGGACCGGACTGAAAGAACAAGAAACCCCTATTCTTAGGCATCTTAACTGACGTGTTGAGAAGGGTCAGGGGTACTGGACACTGGTGTGGGAGCTCACAGAGCAAGGGAATGAATTTCTTCCCTGAATCCAATCCCATTTGCCTGGGACATCTTCTTCCTCAATCTTCTCAAACATAAAGTATAAAAAGTGCAGAAATTTCTTAAATAGCACTGGCTTAGCTGGGTCCTGTGCTCAAAGGTTACCTTGACATATCTGTGGCCTGGGAAAGCATCACCGCCATACTCTACACATTGAGATAGGGTAGGTTTTCGGGTGTAGACAGATGACTGCATGATACAATGCACAGCTGACGTTAGAGAGAAAAGGACCATTTCCTTTTCTTATTTCTCCACCCCACTAAGTATCTGCACCAACTAGAAAAAAGAAGGGAAGGGAAAGGAAGACAGAAAAGGAAAGAGAAAGAAAGAGGATGGAAGGAAAGCTTAGATGCTGGGGTGGGGCAGGGCCGAGCTGGAGAAAATCAAAACACAAAAGGAATGGGTGATACGATAGGGAAGGGAGGCTGAAGGTGCTTTCTAGAATAATTTGGGTCACTAAAAAGTGACAGATGGGTTTACCCTTTCAAAAAAAATGTATGTGTTACTGCTTTTATCTTCTCTTCGGATGAACATTCACACCCATTTTATAGAGGACAGGGAATGTGCTTCTTCCTTTTCTGGATCTCAAGATGTGATATTGATATGAGGGTGGTGTTGAAACCACCAGCCAAATTGTGGTCAGAGTGGGTCTGTGGTGGCCGGAGAGCAGGCCATGTCAGGAGAGGCTGGTAGAGACAGGGCCAATTAGTCAGGAAGAATAAGGAAGAGCACGCAGGCTCCGTAGTCCACACGTGGGAGTAGAGGTAAAGGAATCAGTGCAGATGAGGAGGGTAGACCAAGCCCAGGAAGATCACAAAGGATCAACATTCTCAGAGGCCAGGATCCCTGATGACAGGGTCACAGGTGAATGTGAGCACCTCAGGTCTGAGTTATTCTAGAAGAATATGTACACCAGGGCTCAGGGATCTGACTTCAGGATTGTGGAGGTAGGGGGCCCAGAGTGCTGGAGATATTGATCCAGGTTTATTAAGGGGTCCCCAAAACTCTAGGAGACTGTGTTTCATTTAGCTCCCGCTTACTAAGGACCTGTCAGGCACTGTGACAGGCAGGTTATGTGTCTTGTCTCATTGAATCCTTAGCACCAGATAAGAACTGTTATTCTGCCCTTTATTTAGGAGGAGCATGACTTGGGGAAACTACGTAACTTGTTTAGCTAGTGACAATCCTAGAAGTGACCCCAAGTGTGACTGACTCTAAAACCCATGGCCTGAGCTGTCCCACGCTAGCACCAGTTTAGGCCTGATCTAGAGCCAGGTGTGATACTCCAGTGAGTGGATCCTCCCAGGAGACGGGAATTTGGCTTCCTAACTTCACCTAGGTACATCAGCCTGGGGAGGAGAAGCTTCGCCTGAGGCTCAGGCTCTCACGCCTGCTCCATGGCCTCTCTCATCCCCATCTCCTCCGTCCCTCTTTCCTTGGCTAACTTCGTCTGTCTAGACAGCTGCTCTCCCACTTGCCCTTCCTTCTCCCTGCTCACCCTGATGTTTCAGACTGCTCTAGGATGACCCTGGCCTCAGATGTTAGGACTATGCTTTGTTAGAGCAGGAGGGAGAAGAGAAACATCAGGGGTCTCTGCCAAACACCCTTTACTGGTGAGGACACTGAGCCCCACGAAGGTGAGGCGAGCCGAATGGGAGGTGGTGGTAGAGCTGGCAGCAGAACCCATGTCTCCCAGCTTTCCCAGACACCACCACACCGTGCAAGGAGGCTGAGCAGGACCCCCAGCCCTTCTTCATTACCAGTTACCCTGTGTGCTGCTCAGCTCCCCAGGGATCCTTCTTACCCAGGGTACACGGTGGACTGAAGCAGACTGTGTCATTCTCGCTGCTCACGGGATTGCTGACTTGGCAAGTGTAACACCTGGAGTAATCCTGTGACTTAAGGGTGGTTTCCAGCACACCGCTCTGGAACTCCTTTGGGAAGGGCCCTTTGTCCCCGTACCAGGTGTAGTTTACAGACTCGTCAGGTATCACACATGACAGTTTCAGATAACAGTCATCCTCTACTTTTGCTGTCTTCTCAATTTTGATGTCAGGCTTGGGTACAGGGTCTGAAAGTGAGGAGGATGTTATAAAATGAGACAAGGAGGCATTCATGCTGTGAGAGTTTAGCCAACAAAGAGCAAAGGGAGCCAGGGAAGGGGCCTGACTGTCCCAGGAGGCAGAGTCTTGAGGAAGAAGTCCTACAGAGGGAGCCAGTGAGCAGCCTTGACCTCCTGAGGCCTCACAGACTGCAAGAGCATCTCCTAGGCAATGAAATTAAGCTGGGTCCCAGAGGGGGCGCCAGAGTCAGTTACATGCTCTGGGAACAAAATGGGGTTATGATCATGTGTGAACCTGAAAGAACAGCCCAGAGACCTGCTGGGGTCAGATGCAGTGTACCAATTGTCTGAGATGCTCAGGGCCCCTTCTCTAGCAATGCTTCACAGTGGGCACCTTGGCTGGTCTGCCTCTCAAGAATTCTCGGGCTCACATTCATCAAGAGTTCTAGGTAAGCCGTACCTGCCTGCACATGGCAAAGCCCTTTGCGCAACCATCCAGTGCAGGTGCCAGCCTTCTGGACTCTGGCAGAGCTACAGAGAAGAACTTCATGTAACTTCCAGCCACATCAATGGTGATAAATGGGTTGGTCTGCTGACTTTGGGATCTCTGTGTCTAGCACAATGCCTGCCACATGGCAGGTATTCTACAAATATTTCATGAAAGGATGAATGAATGAAGTAGATATGAGATAGAAAGGATAAAACAGGGCCGGGCGCAGTGTCTCACACCTGCAATCCCAGCACTTTGGGAGGCCAAGGTGGGCAAATCATGAGGTCAAGAGATCGAGACCATCCTGGCCAACATGGTGAAACCCCATCTCTACTACAAACACAAAAATTAGCCGGGCATGGTGGCATGCACCTGTGGTCCCAGCTACTCGGGAGGGTGAGGCGGAAGAATCGCTTGAACCCAGGAGGTGGAGGCGGTTGCAGTGAGCTGAGACTGCGCCACTGCACTCCAGCCTGGCGACAGAGCAAGACTCCGTCTCAAAAAAAAAAAAAAGAAAGGATAAAACATGGCCGGGTGCAGTGCTCACACCTATAATCCCATCACTTTGGGAGGCTGAGGCAGGAAGATTGTATGCAGCCAGGAGTTAGAGACCAGCCTGGGCACAATGTTAGTAAGATAAAATGTCACCTGTCATGGAGAATTGCTTTTTGCAGAGTGTAAGTATTGCAGCAGACATTCTAGAGGTCACTTTACCATTATTACTGTTGTCCTGCTGCCAGAGAGAGTGGGAGATAGTCCCAGTATCTGGTCCTTCCTTGGCTAAAGCTGGTTTACCTGCAATCCTCTGAGATCTTTTCATTCTGCAAAACATCTGTAGAATCAATGCAGCTCAAATTCCAGAAGGTTAAAAGATGGCAGAGAATTCACCAGATAGGAGCTTGCCTCTCGACGGCATGCGGGGCTCTAGAAGCTCTACCTGTCTGGATCCTGCAACTCTAGTTTTATCTCCTCTGTGAAGCCGATCTCAGATTGCTAAGAGATTGTTCAGACTACAGAGGAGTTACAAGTGAACTGGACTTCCCCTACAGGCTTTAATTGAGCAATTCTTATCCTGATTTTCCCCATTTCCTGTATTCTGGCCTCTTATCTTACACTCCTTCTGCATATCCCACGGTGATCAGCACAGCACTGGACACTCTACTGATGAAATTAATCGACCGGCTGGGGTTGTCCAACTCTGAGGTGCTCACTCTGAGCTGTCAAATGCTTGGGCTGAACCAAGCATTTGAGGACTATTTTTCTGCCAATCACATCCTGAAAATCTTATCCTCAGGCAGAATGTGCTTTCCCTCAGGCAGGAAGCTCAAGCCAGTTTGTGGGTTTTTAAGTATTCAGAAATTTTGCAAGCTTTTTGTGAAACCATTAGTTTACTGAAATCAACTGTGGTAGTAGTATTTAAACCACAGAAATTACAAGTTGGTAAATGATACCAACTTTAGGGCTTTTTTTAAAAAAAATAATTTATCTTGGAGAGCTTGTTAACACCACTGTAAGAGACCTTGAATCTTTTCTGTTCCCAGGACTTTCTGAATTTTCAGGCTATATGACGTGGAAGAAGAGTGAGAAGCAGAATCTGACTGCTTAGATCAGGGACTATCTGGCTGGTGGAACCTGAATATATACAACACTCTTCATTTGCATCTTTAACATTTTTTTAAATGTTTTCATTTGTCTTACCTACTTTGATTCCTATAACATCCTAAAAGGTAGGTAGAATTAGCCTCATAACATGATGAAGAACCCAAGACTCCCAAGGGAACTCCACTCTTAGATATTTAGCCTCCTACCCTTCCACAAGAATGGCATACCCCAACCCCTGGAGACCTCCCGAGATCCATGTTTCTGCCATATAAGCTGACCCTTTCACCATAAATGTTTAGATCAGGTACACACACCTGAACTAAGTTGGGACTGTCAGTTTCTCTCTCTTTAAATTGCCCTGAGAATTGCAACTCAGTGGAGCAAAAGTCTAAGCTTTGAAAGCTAACAAGTATAAAATGGCAGGAATCCAAATCCATAGGCACATTCCAGAGATTCCTGAGGCTAGGGGCTCCAGCCTGATCCTGGTTTTTAATCTTCTTCCCCTTCAGCCCTTCCTGGCTCTTTTAAACTCCTGGAATTGCTGTAAAGAGGCCCAGTTCCTTAAACTAAATTCTCCTTTTTTTGGTAAAGGTACATTGAATTAGTCTCTGTTACTTGCTATCAAAAGAATCTTACCTAATATGGGCACAGAGATGTGAAGATCTTTTTCCAAGGTTGCACAGCCAGTGAGCAACTGACCAGAGTTTTGAACCCAAGTCTGTCTGACTCCAAGCATAATGCCCTAGTCCTTATTCCATATATACTGGTTAGACTGGAGCTGTGAGTGGAAGTTTTTTTGTCCCGCTCATTATGAAAGGTGAAAAATTCTCCTAGTAACCTCTGTCCCATCCTTTATAATAATACATTCTCTCTCTTTTTTTTTTTTTGTTAAGTCCAATGAAGCCTAAGTTTAGAGATATAATTAAGATGAGCTGAGCCAATTTAGGCTGATCACAGGGCAGAATGAAGACATAGAAAAAAATCTCTAGTTTTCCTTCTCCTCAAATATTAGACTCACTAACTTCAGAAGAGGTGTTAAGTGTCCCAAGATTGTTAATTTGGAGATCTACTGACCTACACTCACTCTCAAATAGAACTGGATCCAGGAAAAATGAACCAAACCTGTCCTGAGGTTTTTCTCTCCTCCTCCCCGAGTGGCCCATGCCTCCCAGGAAGCCCCACAGTAGTCCGTCTGGGGCCCCTGGAGTGGGGATTTGCTCTCTGGTTCCCCTGACTCACCGAACACCTGCAGCCTGACGGTCCATTCTTGCTCAAACATGGTCTCCTTCAACACCCTGAAGATGTAGATGTTGGCATCCTCTTTCTGGACATTAGACATGTACAGTACGCCACTTTGAGCATCGAGTCTGACCCTGCCTTTAAATCTATTTTCATAGTACCTAAGTCTTCTGACATCCCAGTCTGCAATCTTCAGGTTGTAAGTATAAAACCAGGTTATTCCTTGGAGGTTCTCAGGTAGGCTCTCAGAGATGCTCAGAGTCACATTGCCGCCGGAGACCGCGTTTATAACTTCTACCGAATCACCTGCCAATGAGAGTCAGAGTGAGACCTGTCCTAGAGAAGGCAGTGTTGCTGAGAGGCCCAGGGTGTAGCCTGGGCTGATGGAACAGGTGAGAAGGAAGCGATTTCTGCTTAGGATCAGCGAGTATAGTTTTCACTGGTGGTCCAGGTCACCTGCTCAGGAACTCAAGAAAAGTTGGAGATTGAAAAGTGGACGTGAGGGGAGGGGGTGTTGCTTGTAATTCATCTAGTGCTGCCTCCAGAAAATAAAAGAATTGAGTCAGGCCAACTGAGGTTGGGCCTGGCTCTCTCCCTTACTCTCATACCAGTAGACTTTCAAATAAACTGATGACAAGTCGTATCTCCTCTCTGGTCTTGTGTTTCCTGTCTGTTCAATATAGTGCAATAAGCATTTTGTTAGTTCCTAGAGGCATAGACATAAAAAGCACATGATTCTATTTTCAAAGATTTAATACACCAATGTGGGAGGACAGACACACAAACAAATAATCCTAATATCTTGGTAACTGTAATACAGTTAATGTAGGAGCCAAGGAAAGCTTCCCCTTCACCTTCTGAAGATTTGCCAGAAATCACTGACAAGAGGCAGATTAAGGAGAAAAGGCATCCAGATGAACTAAGGTGTACGCAGAGCCTTCAGAAGAGCCAAAGACACAGGGCAAATTATCCATTTTTACGCTTAGGTTCAACAAAGTACGGACAGTCATGGGGAAATATGATTGGACAAAAAGGATATGATCGAATGCTAATAGACTGATGGGGGGAACCCAGCAAGGCCTGCTTGGCCTTTCTGTGCCGCGTTCCTTCCTTCCTCCCGCGTGTGGGGCAGGCTGTCTCTGGAATGGGGGTCTCATGAGTCACAATCATTCCAAGATAGGTCAGATAATTTCTTTGTGGCCATTTTATTATTTTACATAGAAAGGCTCAAGGAAAGTTAGGGTAGTATATTTAAGTTCTACCACTGGCTTTGGGGAAAAGAGGTTTGGGTTTATATGGCCTGCCTTGGAAAAGAGGGATTATAGTGTCTATGGCTAGCCTAGGAGAGGACAGGACTGAGAGGCAGAAGGGCAGGAGAAGGTCAGAGAACAACTTTCACTTCTGAGGCTGCTTCTGAGGCCATGATTTTGGGGCACTGTTTTCTGAGTCCCGACAATAAACACAGTGTGCTGTGGGAATATATTCCTATCGAGGGTAGGGATAGACATGGAGAAAATACTAAGAAAAATCTCTTTGGAGGAGATTTACCTTACCACTAAGGTAAGCCAAAGGATGATTAAAAGCTATTGTTGAGAACTATCTGTCAGGCGCTATTTGAGACGCTTCGGATACATCACTGAACTAAGCAGCAAAGATCCCACCTCAGCAGAGCTTACATTAGAGGGGAGTGAAAAGACAGGAAGCAGTAAACACACTAACGGAACACACCGTCTAGCATGTAAGGAGGTGATAATTGCCATAACAAAGGAAAAAACCTAAAAGAGGGTAAGGGGAGTCACGAGTGCTGGTAGGTGGAGAAGGGTGAACTTCATTTATAAGGTGATAAGTAGGTCACATCTAGCAAAGACTTGGAGGAGACAGGTGGCCAAGCAGATATCTTGGGTAAGAGGGACCCACATAGAAGAAAAGAGCCAGAGCAAAGGCCGTGGGGCAGGGGTGTGCCTGCCACATGTCAACAAAAACAAGGAGCGGCAAGTAGGTAGTGTGGAGCCAGCAAGGGGAGTGGGTGTTGAGAGACACAGTGAGAGAGGAGTGGACTGGAGAGAGTGGAAGAACACATTTTAGCTTTATTCATAATGTTTCATCCTGTAAAAAAAAAAAAGTTACCCTGTAAAAATGGCTCATGTCTTGTGTGCGCATTTACAATGTGTTTAGAAGCAAGTTATTAGAAGGTAAGAAAGTGGAGACTGTATAAATTATTATTTCACAAAGTTTGGATCAGAGGCAGATTTCCTGGAAAGGGATGAAACTGAAGCTTCGGGGCTTTTTGGTTGGCCCTGGAGGAGCCCTAGCAGTGTATTCATGTGATCCGTTTTGCAAAACATATCTTTAAACACAAATGATTAGACCACTGCCTCCATCTACGCTAAAATCCCCTTCATCACATTGCTGTTTTTGTTGGGTGACCTCTCAGTTACGGGCATTTTGAAGTCTGGCCAAGGGGAAGTAGAAATGGGGTTAGTTGGGGTTAGTGGGATATATGTATGAGGGTTGCAAAAGCTCGTGTGTGAAGTTCCTGAGGGTTGCGGAATCTTGTGTGTGACGTTCTTTTACATTGCAGTGCAATCTGAAGGTGAGGAAGGAGAAACGGTAAAAATAGACTCTTCTCTTAAGACATTCCCACTTGAATGGGGAACAAAATGCCAGGGCATTGTGTAAAGGTTCATGAAAAGATAGAGAGTATTTCGTTTTTGTTCTTAGTGGTATTTAAGGAGGGAAAAGGCCTAAGCTATGGTAGGCCAAGGAAAGGAACCAGTGGAGGGAAACATGAAGAGAAGAGAGGTGATGGATGAGCCTGTGCTGGTGGGGCTCAGAGCAGAGTTGATGGCTGGGAGGAGAGATACTTCACCCCCCAAGGAAAAAGAGGAGGAGGAAAAGTGGGGGAGGCGATGGAGAGAAGTTACCAGTTTGAAGATAGAGGGCATATCTTCATATGTATGAGGGTTGCAAAATCTTGTGTGTGAAGTTCCTTCACTTCTGTGAAGAAATAGTATCCAGGAACATTCCCGCTGCCCTCCGCACTGACTCACTTGCAATGGCTGTGGACATGTTGCAGTTGGGCTGCAGGTGGGAAGTAGAGGAGAAAGCAGATTGGAAGTGAACAACAGCTGGAGCTATTCAGTGGCCAAGTACTACAGAAGCGTGAGGCATTTCACTAACTGAAAATACGGGGCTATTTTTTCTTCCGTCATGGTCTAAGTAGTATTTGTATTTTTTAAACTTGTACTAATTCCTTGGGATTTCTTTTTTATCTAATTGACTTTATTTTTGTTCCTATTTTTATTTATAGTTTTGTTCTTTTCTTTTTCTTTTTCACGAGAATACTCCAAATTGTCTGAGCCTCAGGTTATTTTTAAAAATCTAGTTTGGTTAAGGTAAGGAGAAAGGAAAGATGATAAGGACAAGGTACAAGGTGAAGGGGGGTCTGCTGGCTCTTTCTGTGGAGGTGGAACTTCGAATATGTATACAAAGGCTGAAAAGAGCAGGAGGAAAAAACACTCAAGGTAGAAGAAGAGGAAACATGTCCTATATCACTCTGGTGTCACATGCTGCCACACACAAACTCAGTTGTACTCTTCAGCATGATCTATACTAGCTGTTCACTTTACAGATAGCAGTCATTTCCAAAAGCATTCTCAACCACTAAAAATAAAAATGTCTGTGTCCCCGGAGGTTTCAAGCTCCTGTTCATTCACACTTCCAACCACTCATCTATCTATTCAACAAACATTTATTAAGCACTTACCCTGTCCTGGTTTCTATGCAGAAACACCTAGGCATTCATTTCTACAGTGCTTCTGGTTGGTCCAGCTCGTGTCCTATAATCCCTCTGAAAGAATCAGTCCAAGCCAACAAGTCATCACACAACCACAACACGCCTGGCACTGTGCTAGACTGTGACGTCGGGAAGGCAGATAGAGTCTCCAGCCTCTTGGAACATACAGCCTAGGAGGACATTCTTTCCAGAATTTTAAAATCGCTAGACATATTCCAGACTTGTTCTCCTTCTGTTACCTGTTTCCACATGAATTAATAGAAGCGATCATAGTAGGCAGTCTAGAACAATGTTTTTCAGTCTTGACGTTATTGACATTTTGGGTCACATAATTCTTTTATGTAGGGGCTGTTCTGTGCATTGTAAGACGTTTGCCAGCATCCCTGGTATCTGCGCACTAGGTGCCAGTAACACTTGTTCAGTTGTGACAGCCAAAAATGTATCCGGATATTGTCAATTGTCCCTTGAGGGACAAAATTCTCCCATGCTCACCCTGGTTGAGTAGTACTAAGCTAGGTCATCCTTGGCAGACTCCCCAGAATGAAGACAGCATAATCCACTGTCTGATGACAGAGGCAGGTAGTAACACCAGACAGATCATTTTAAAAGAAAAAAAAAAATACATATATATATATATATATATATATATATATATAATTTATTTATTTATTTATTTTTGAGATAGAATTTCGCCCAGGCTGGAGTGCAGTGGCACAATCTCAGCTCACTGCAACCTCCGCCTCCCAGGTTCAAGTAATTCTCCTGCCTCAGCCTCCCAGGTAGCTGGGATTACAGGCATGCACCATCACGCCTGGCTAATTTTTTGTTTTTAGTAGAGACAAGGTTTCACCGTGTTGGTCAAGCCGGTCTCAAACTGTTGACCTTAGGTGATCCACCCGCCTTGACTTCCCAAAGTGCTGGCATTACAGGAGTGAACCACCATGCCCAGCCCATTTCAGTATATCATGACTGCTGATGACAGGTATGCATACAGCATTGTATGTTTCCTCTCTCGCTCCTTAACTATCTATGTGTACCCATTTCAAAAAGCTGTCCTGATGGTTGACTGTGACTTCTTACTGAGAAATAAAGAAGTGATTAACTGCTGCTAAAATCTTGATTTGCCTTCTTAACAATTCCATCTTTTAGGAAGTAGGTAAAACAACCTTTTAAAAAACCACTGTTTTGATTTAATTCTAACAGGAAGTAGTTGGTGATATGTCTGGATGATTGGGATGAAGGAACACTGTTAGGGTCTACCTGATTTCTCCAGAATTTGGAAACTATTTCAGAGTATTCTTAACTTATGGCAATACAGTTATTTGCATAAGTCTAATATGACTCTGTTTCCTTTTGCAACAGGATGCAATTGGAAAAACTGGTTGTTCTACCAAGGCTTTGACTAGAATGGTGTGCTTTCCTTTAAGGAATCAAAATTCACTTTAGCTAATAAAAATCCCCTTGGGAAAACTACCTTATACCTTGTCTACACAGTCCCTGTGCAGGGTTT